TCACGGGTTGGGTGTACGGACCCCGAGTCTAGTCGTAGGTTGACACGCAGATCCTGGGTGCTTAAAACGACATCATTTTGGGCCTTTATTGAAATAACGTCGTTTTGGTTTTGACAGTTTATATAAAATGTGCTAAATTTTTTTTGGTCATTCTCCCCTTTTCTTCAGAAAAAAAACACATTTTTCTCTCTTTTTTTTCAGGCCGACCTGGGGCCGATGGCTATCCGTCGCGACGGCCGTCGTAGTCCTCGTCGGCTGCGAGCTTCGATCGCCGTCGTCGATGTTGAAAATTTTTAAAATTTCTCAAAATGATCCCCTCAACACCCTAAACACAGATCCAGCCTCATTTTCACAAAAAAATGTCCCAAATTCCCTAGATCTACCGGTGAAGTTTCGGCGAAACCCTCACTTTTTATTTTCTCTCTTTTTTTTTAAACTGACTCTTTTTGTTTTCTTTGTGCAAAAACTCTCGACGTTGGGTTCCTCGTTTCAGAGGACTGAGTTTTTTTTTTTTTGTATTTTTTTGGTTTTTTTTTTGCAAAAGGGTCTTTTTTTTCAGGTTTTTCTTCCTTCTTCGTTCCTCTCCTCTCTTTCTTATTCGGTCAGGAGCTCTATTTATAAAGCTCCAGTAGTGAATGGCATAAGGCTCGGCATGGGGTGCAAGCACAAGCCCCATGCTGCCTTTATTTGTTTCTGTCTTATTTGACAGTGAGGGTAGTGGCTGTTAGTGAGATGGGTGATCAAAGGGGTGGAGGGTAAGATATGGTAATCAGAGGGGTGGGAGGTAGGGCATGGTGGCAGTGATGCCGGGGAAGGCACCACTACCATCCCCCATTTTTTTTTGTTCTGTTTGTTTTTTTTTTCTTTTTGGTATTTTGTATTTTGTATTTTGTATTTAATAATATTATTATTATTCTTTTTTTGCCAAGACAAATTTGATTTCCACAATATATATTATTAAAAATTCTAAATAATATTAAATAAACATCTTATCACATTATCAATATAAAAGAAAACAAAAGAGACGAAAGTATTTTGATATGTTAAAAATGAATTTTTATATCATGAATATTTTTTTTGTTTTATTTTACCCATATATTTTATTATACAAGATTATTTTAGCTTTAACTTGTATTTTTTTCCTTTTTAAAAATATTTTATGATTTTATGCTTAATTTGGATATTTTTACAATAATATAATCATATATCACATGAGTTAAAAAATAAAGTTTGCAAACAAAAAAAGAGGAAAATAGTCAGATGGGGCAAAAGAAAGAAAAATAATACTAGGTTATAATTTAAGTCAGTTAGAGTGAGACTTATAAAAAATAATTATTTATCGCCAACATTTATTAATATTTACATATAATACTTTTTTTTTTAAATGAGTCAATTTTTTTATTAAAGTATATCTATACTTTATATTATTTTTAAATCCCTTCCCTTTATATTTTTTCTCTTTCAATTTAATAGTGGCAAAATATAAAAACATTAAAATTTTTATCTAATATCATAATATACTTAAAAAAGATTTTAAGAAATAAGATTTCAATGGGGGCAATTGCTCCTACTGCCCCAGTATGAATCCGTCCCCAGCCTAAATTATAGAAGTGATCTAGAAGCTAGCAATTCTAAACACTCAATTCATTCCTCTTGATTTAACATTTTTCAACTAAACGAACACTTTATTTTTCCTAATGTCGAGAGTCGAGACGGATAATTACACAGAGCAAGCTTCAATATCACAGTGAGTTGAGAGACTCTTTCTTTCCTATATTCTTGAAAATTTTGAAATTAAATGCTTTTGCCTTTTGGTAAATTTGCCATTTTCATAATGATATTTCAAATATATAAACAACCCCTAAAATTCAACTTTCTGTAAACCCGTTGGGTTCCCTAATTTAAGACCGAAAAGTCCCAACAAAATTTTCCTTTTTGGGCCTAATGAAACGAAAGTGAGATATCCATATCCTTCTTCATTTCATTTTATAACTTTTTGTGTTTTCTAATATTTTTCAGCATTGTCATTTAGATAATGTTTTTTCACGATTTACTATATCCCAGAAAACATGATGTTATATAAATATATATATATTAATATTAATATAAAGCAGTAGAAAGAAAAAAGAACGAATATTTTGACTTGTCTGTTGTTAAATTTCAACATACATAATAGGGACGCTTTAGTTTTTAAAACAATATTTTTTGGGTAAGTTTTTCAAAGATTTAGGTAGAAAAATTTTTGATCTGCTGATAAAAAAATTACTTATATTGGATTGGTTAATTTGGTGAGTCCAATAGTATCCTGTCGATTCATAGTTTTTTCTTCAAACAATTACGTAGATAGCTTGATATCATATAGATTTTCATGATAAATCCAATAAATTATAATTTATATGTACAAAATTTCATATCATTTTCATTATATTAGAACAATTATATAGGTGAATATCATAAACTTTGACGATGAGTTTGACAAATCAAGATGCTGCATACTAAACTATTCCATAAAATTTGCAAGGATGGGTCCGACCGATAAAAATTAAAAAAGAATTTTTGGACCCATAAGTTTTGCGTAAGCATATTGAAAGGAAATAAAGACAAAAAAAAAAAAAATCATATTTTTCCACCCGGAAAGGGATAACATGATATCCCTGAGTATTCAAAGTAATTCAAATAAAGTTGCTGATGAATTTTTTGAATTTCCAAATCATAGAATATCTTTTTATCTTATTCCGTTCGTTGAAAATTTTTCAGAAATAACATTAGAATTTTGCGTCAATCAAACAATGGAAAAAGGTGCCTTGAATGCCGATCTCCATTGATCATTAAAAAATTCTATAGAAGGGAACGTTCAAAATCTGATAAGTATAACCCTAGTCGACATTACTAACTGTTGCCATGGAACAAAAGAAACCAAAATGTCCATGATGACTTTTGACCAGGTACTGGCAGGTGTGGCAACGCCCTTGTGTTGGCGCTGCCTTCCCTATCATTGGAAACGTCGGAGCTTGAAGAAGCCCCATATGCAGTACTTCGCCATTTCCCATCGTTCCTGTGGCGGATCCAAAATTTTAAATTAGAAGAATCAAACTAAATAATAATTATAATTTGAATATTTTCACTTAATATATAATATATTATTATTTCATCAAAAGTTATAAAAATTTTAAGTAAAATATGACATTTCATAATGTAATCATAAATAAGATACAAAAAAAATTAATATTGAAACAAAAAATATATAACTATTTAAAATAGAAGAAACTCAAATAATTTTATTTAAAATTGTGCTTGATGATCTTTAATAAAAAAAAAATCATTAGATTAAAAATTTTAACAAATTTTCTCACAATATAGATAATGATTTTAAAATTTTCTCTCAATAAATATTTATAATTTTTTTATTTAAAATTAAAAATAATTTGTAACTTACTATCGATGATTCAAAATTAGAAGATAAAAGATGCAGTGTTCTTATCATGGAAGAAGTTACAATGGCCTTTTGCACCATCATTATAATTGGCTTTCTAAGAAAACAAGAATGCACCTTCTTTTGTAATAATTATAGTGACTTGTGCTGGGTTCAACCCTTTAAGGAAGAATATTTAATGCTGAGTTTAGGTTTTTAGGGAATAAGATATGTGTTTCTTTCTATTCTATTAATCTCACATTTTTTTATTTGTTTTATTAAACTTTTTAAATACTTTTAACTTTTTTTAATGTGGGTCATATTTAACAAATACATTTAGTTTTTAAATTTTTAATGAGAACTAAACTATAAATATCAACACTTTTTACAAAATAATTAGAATTTGATAATTGAATTTTTTATCTCAAAAGTTTTTTTTTTGAAATTCCAAATACAAATACAAATTATAATTAAGTATTACATAATTAAATAATCAAACAAATAAATTAATCAACAAGTTAAAATATAACTAGATAAATTCAACATAAAATTAAAACAAATTCACATATAATAAAATTTAAATATAAAATCTCACGATTCTAATAATTTGTAACCACTAAAAACAATTTTTTTACTTTTTGGGAGGCCATTTTTTAAATTAAAAAAAAAAACTCTTATGAATTATATACGTTATACACTTAGAGGGTTTTAAAAATCTTTTGGGGTGTTTTGGGGGAGGGGGTGGCTCTGGTTTAAATGTGGCTGCGCCGTTGCATCTGACAATGACTTTTTGTCACCATTTAAATACTACTCCACTCGAGTCCAAAACAACAGAGCCGCCTTGAATCACGGGACAACGACGAGCAACCCCAAAATTTTTTATTCCCCCTTTCTTCTTTTTCAAAGGGCATTCCTTGAACAAAATAACAATTCTGTCTTCTTTTATTCTCTGACTAGTTTGCTTCCTCACCAACCATGACAAATTAATACTAGTACTACTTGTTTAACGATTTCATTTTCTTCTTTTGTTTTTATCATTATTAATTTTTTGCAACAGAGCCAAAGCTTAAACTTAAGAGGATTTGCAAGTGCATCAAATCCTAAGCTTAGATGAATCTCCCTCTTAAGACAAATGAACGAATTATCGGAGCAAATGAAATAAGAGTAAAAAGAGAAACTTTGATATTTGTAGAGATCATTTTACTTTTTATATATAATGTATGTAGGGTACTTAATATTAATATTATCATAATGCCCATATGTAGGGTATTTCACCGCGTAACATGTTGGTAATTGCTCCACTATTGCATAGAATTGTTAATCCACAACGAAGCGGATGATCCATAGATGTGTAAATCATAGTACTAGTATTCCTCCAAGGAAGTTTGGATTACCTAGGCTATGGCCATCTACTCTGACTAACAGTTAGCTCTTTTGTTTGACTGGAATTCTTACAAAGTGACGGCCGCGTGCTTTGATCTTTACGAAAATTAATTAGACCGTTGATCTTTCATACGGTAAATGTTCAATTTTTTGGGGGGGTAACCAATACTCTAGCACTATAAATTATGGTCACTACTTAGCAATATTAGACTGTGCGCTTCCTGGTTACCTCTGTGTTTCAACCTGCAACTTCTTTTTCCTCCCAAAGCAACAAGATGTTGCAAACAGCTTTCAGCTCGTATTCATGGCTATTGAATGCTAGCAACCAGAAAGATGGATTCTTTCCAGGTGCTTTCTCATTTCTGATCGCCATTTTGGCAATTTCACTCTGGCACGTATGGACTATTCGGAAGTCAAGGAAGCCAACCGCTCCATTACCGCCTGGCCCCCGTGGTTTGCCAATCGTGGGATATCTTCCATTTCTTGGAACTGATAATCTTCACCTGGTGTTTACAGATTTGGCTGGAGTCTATGGTCCTATCTATAAACTTTGGCTTGGAAACAAACTATGCGTGGTAATTAGCTCACCATCGCTAGCAAAAGAAGTGGTTCGTGACCACGACATAACATTTTCTGAGCGGGATCCTCCCATTGCTGCAAAGATCTGTACCTTTGGCTGCAATGATATTGTATTTGACTCCTACAGTAGTCCTGACTGGAGAAAGAAGAGAAAAGTTCTTGTACGTGAAATGCTTAACAATACTAGCATCAAAGCTTGTTATGGTCTAAGGAGAGAACAAGTGATAAAAACCATTAAAGATGTGTATAAAAATGCTGGCAAGCCAATTGATTTTGGTGAATTGGCATTTTTAGCATCAATCAACTCGGTCATGAGCATGCTGTGGGGAGGCAAACAGGGAGGAGATCAGAAAGGTGCTCAAATTTGGAGCGAGTTTCGAGATCTTATAACAGAATTAATGGTGATATTGGGAAAACCAAACATTTCCGATATTTTCCCCGTGCTTGCGAGGTTTGACATGCAAGGACTGGAGAGGGAAATGAAGAAAATCTCTCATTTGTTTGATCAACTTTTCGACTCTATGATTGAAGCAAGAGTAAACGTGGCCAACAAAATGGAAAAAGATGATGGAAAGACTGACCAAAAGGACTTCTTGCAGCTTCTTTTGGAACTCAAGGAGAAGAATGATAGCGCAACATCAATTACAATGAATCAACTCAAGGCCCTGCTGATGGTAAGCTTGTTCCCTCATGCACCATTATTCTTTTTGTATTCGCTTTCTTATTCGGGTGCTAATAATTTTTAATTAGGACATTGTGGTGGGTGGAACTGATACTACATCGACAATGATGGAGTGGACAATGGCAGAGCTAATGCAACATCCTGAAGTAATGGAAAAGGTGAGGAAAGAAATAGCTGATGTTGTCGGTCCAAACAGCAGCGTTGACGAGGTTCACTTGCCTAATTTGCGCTATCTAGATGCTGTAGTAAAGGAGACCTTCCGGTTGCACCCACCTATGCCCCTCCTTGTGCCCCGTTGTCCGGGCCAATCAACCACTGTTGGTGGCTATAGCGTACCAAAGGGCACAAGGGTCTTCCTAAATATTTGGTCTATTCAGAGGGATCCACAGGTTTGGGACAATTCTACAGAATTCCAACCTGAGAGGTTCTTGAATGATCCTGACAAGTTTGATTACTTGGGAAATGATTGCCGGTACATGCCATTTGGCTCCGGAAGGAGAATGTGTGCAGGAGTTTCTCTTGGGGAGAGGATGCTATATTCCACGTTGGCCTCATTGCTGCATGCTTTTGACTGGAAATTGCCTCAGGGTGCAGAACAAGACTTGACCGGCAGATTTGGAATTATCATGAAGAAAATGAAGCCTATAGTTGTTATTCCAACACCAAGATCATCTAATATCGAGCACTATATCAAATAACTGTGTTATTCGTTGCCTCTTTAGCATTATTTGGCAACAGTACTATGTATCGGGTCATAAAGCTTGTCAAATAATCAATCAAACAATAATGAATTAAAAAGTAGATTATCCAAAACTAATTGAGCCCGCTAGGTTTGTTATTTTATTTTTTTTTTTCAAATACATTGAATGAATAAACGGACTTTGAACCCGTAGCAGAAAAAAAAAATCACCAAAAAAAAAAAAATTTGACGGAAGCTATACATAGCTCCAGCTCAAGGAGATTTATTAACAAGGATAACCCATCCAAACGTATTTCATTTACCCCTTGTCCAACCCAGGAAGTCTATCCCCAATGATCATAGCATCAACAAATTGCATGTATTGCTTGTTATATGAGGAAAACCAAATATTTCGGATTTCATCCCGAGTCTGGCTCGTTTTGAATACAAGGATTGGAAAGGAATATGAAAAAGGCATCCGAGTGGACAGATCAAATTTCGATTTCGCGATCGATCAAAGAATGAAAAAGAAAGTGGACAAAGGTCAAGGTTCAAAAATGAAATTAAATAAGGATTTCTTGGATTTCCTCTTAGAGTTCAAAGATGACGAAACGACAGTCACTTTCACGAGCACAAATGAAAGCCCTCCTTGCGGTAAAGTTTCTCCCTAGCTAGTTTCAACTCGTAATTCCATTTTCATTAACATCGAAAAAACCAAAAACACTCCCTACAACAAATTTTTTAGGTATTAACACTTGATTATATTGATGATTAAATTATATCAATAAAAAAAAATTTTATTGAAGATTTTTTAAAATCGTCAAAATATAACATATTTATATCAATACTTTATACAATAATTAGTTTAAATAAATTTTTTTAATGATATATAATTATCCGTCAGTATAAATATATTATTTACTGATACTTACTTATATTGATAATTAAATTATGTAAGTAAAAAATATTTATATTGACAGATTTTTGTTATTATCAATATAAATAGTGTTTATACCAACACTTTATATAACTGTCGATATAAATCATTTTTTTTTTCTAACAATATATAAATATTCGTCAGTATAAGTATTTTATATACTAATGGTTATAATAACCGTCAGTATAAGCTCTAAAAAATATTAATTCTTAATTTCTTTTTTGAAAAATATTATTTCATAATATTTTCCTCCAATAAAAATTTTAAAAAATTATAATTTCTTTAAAATTATAATTATTAATAAATAAAATTTATAACTTAATTAATTTTAAATGATAATGAATTCTAAATAAAATTTTTAAGTAATATATTAATTAATAAATTTATAATTAAATATTATACTAAATTTTTTTAATTTAAATATTATTTATTATTAAAATTATTAATAAATTTATTAAAATAAATATTTATCATTTAATTTAATTATCACATATGATATATAATAAATAATTGATTTTTAATAATATAATTACACCATATGATTCAAGTTAAAGATAAATATATTAACGTGAAACAATAATTTCATATAATATTTCCTCATATTCCACTAATAAGACACTCTTTTAAAAAGAAAAAAAATAGAATCTTTCTCCTTTCTTAACATAATTAACGAAAGAAATTTGAATAAAAATTTTATAAAAGTTGTATGGGTTCTTTTAGATCTTTATTGTTTGGTTAGAGATGCTAAAAATGAATTTATGCGTTTTTAAACAACAAATAGAACTATGGAGAAAAGCAATATTAAAATAGGAAAAAGAAGGTGGTAAAAAAAATGAAACAAAAAAATGTGAAAACCCAAAAATAAAGTAAAAAAGCAGCGGTCCACTTGCTTCTGCCATAAGCCGATCCTGCAGTATCCACTTTCTTCTTTTATCCTTCCCTAGACGTTGTCCATTTCCATTCTCCGAGAATCCCCTCATTCTTCGCATTTTGTATGAATTTCCCCATCATCTTCATCTCATTTCCACTGTCAGGTTTGCTTTTTTCCCTTTTTAATTTTTTTATTATTAGTATTACTTATGCAACCCATCTATTATCTTTGCCATCACTCTTTTTTTTTTTTTTTGATGATGCACCTGCAGTATCCATTGCCCAAGTTTTTGTTAATATTTTACTTTTATTAGTTTTGGACCAAGTATTTGTTAGTAAAGGGGTGGTAAGGTTTCTCATCAGTTGTTCAACTAGAAGGTTTTACGCCGTTCTTTGGTTTTCAAGGTTTCCAAGCAGGGTCTGCATTTTTCCTATTTTTCTTTTAAGTTTTTTGGTTGGTGTTGTTAATATTTTGTTTTTTAAACTAAATAATGATTCTGAATTTCTTTGAAGTTTAAATTTTGCAGCTGGAGGCAAAAAGCTACTAGGCATGCTTTTTCCTGAGAGTCCTAATTTTGCAAAAGAAAAGCAAATCTGTTGCATGGTGAGCTATTGTTCGTCATCAACTAGTGTAGAACAACGTGCTTTCTAGGTATGATTCCTGATGGCCTTCATGTCTTATTTATGATAGAGAGCAATATCTAGAAAAGTGGAAGGAAAATATTGATGCCATTGTTACTGCTGTGTGTATTAATTGAATTGTAAACAAACGATAAGCTATTGACTTGTACCTTCATGCAGTTTTACAATCATTTCTTCATTTCTGGTATTTAATGAAAGTATTATGATGATATGCTCAAATTTATGGTTTTTTTTGGTACTTTTCTTAATGACTATGTTTAACAATAGGAAAACTCGAAAAAAAAAATTTTTAGAGTTGGTCAGATATAAGATAAGACTCTTAAAAATGAGGTATCATTGATTTAGTATATCTGTTTGAAAAATGGCTTATCTGTTTAACATATCCGAAGTAAAAAGAATAGCTACTGTTCTAAAGAATTATTTATTGTTTATTTCACTAATTTGGACTGTATATATGAAAATTAATTGATAAGACAAGTCTAATGCTCAAAATTCTGACTCAGCATTCCAACACCACAATTATCTTATCTCAAAGAGGTTTCAGCATCAAAGCAGCTTTCATCAGACTCCAATACAGGGAAGATGAGTTTTTTTAAATTGATGTTTCTTTGGAACAGAAAAGATTCTACGAATAAGCATAAGTGGTTCCCAATACACTTTTCCTACTGTGCATACACATTGCCCATCCACATTTGATCACCGTGCTTATAGAAAGAAACCAATTGAAAATCAGACATCCCCCACCTCCACTGCCCTGCTTTTTATCAATATTATTGTCAGTTCCCTTGGGCAATTGGCCCTCCAAATCTCCTTAATAATTTGTTTTCTTTTTTATATTTGAGGTTTTAGAGATTGAATTTTAAATAAAAATTAAGAATTCAGTACTCTACAAACAAACTACACATGACTGTCGACTAACCCTGTTAATAATTCTATGTTATCATATTTATCATAAACTATAAACTAAAGGATTACCTAATGGCTTATCTACTTCCATATGTTTTAGCAAACTTTGCATCACTTTAGCATCAGAAAATTTAATTTTCATTAAATAGATGACAATTCTGATTCATGAAACATATATTTTATATTTGACAGTCAACTTTGAAATTGAATCTACATATATAGATCTAGTTTTGTTTTTTTTTAAATTCAAGTTTCTTTTAATAACTTCACTTCAGTTTCCAACAACTATGTTTCTGCTAGGAACGTTCATTACAATTTACATGAGAAAGGGCCTCAACAACAATTTTAACAATGACAAAAACAAAACACAAGAACAAAAAGTGAAACCTAACAACAACCTTCATAATCCAATTCCTATGGGCCTTGTAGACATCGATTTTGTCCAGATCTACTGTTTTTATTTTAGTTTAATATTAGTAATAATAATAATTTAAAAATATATAATAATAATAAAAAAAAGAAAAATGAGACAAAAATCAAAGGGTTGGTACGATGTCGCTGTCACCCCCGATCAGCCCCCTATTCAGCCCACCTACAGCCACCCCACAGCCATCCAGATCCCCATATTTGAAGTTCTTAAAAATCTCATAGATTCTTCCCCTTCAAAAAAACCTCTCTCTCGAACCCTCTTTCAAAAAAAACTTTCGAACCCCCATTTTTGAAAACTCTCAGATAAAGAACATATCCTTTTCGAAAAACCTTCGAGCAGATCTTCGAAACCTCCAAACTTTTTCTTTCAACAACCCCAAACACCACGCCAAACCTCTTCCTTCAATAACCCCAAACAGAACCTACGCTAACCACAAAAAAAAAAAACAAACAGAAAAACAAAAACAAAAAAAGGACAAACACAGTCCTCCTCGTAGGGAGGAACCCAGTGCCAAAGCTACCTGTGAAAGCAAAAAACAAAATTAAGTCAATCTTGTTTCAATAAAACAAAACAAAAGAAAAAAGGAAAAAAGGGGAAATAGAAACTTTGAGCCCGATCTACGTTGATCGGGGTTGTTTTTGGTAAAACGGACGTCAAATCTAGGAAGAGCACGTTGAAGAGCGCTTTTGGGAGTATTATTGAAATTTTTTGGCCACTGGCGACCCAGGCGGCGGTCGACGCGACAATCTGACGATCGGACGACGATAGCCCGAAGCTTTCCCCCAGAGCTCTCTCTCTCTCTTTCTCTCTCTCTCTCCCTTTTTTTTTGAAACAGGAAAAGAATGAACAAAATTTTTTTTTTTCATTATATATAAAAGACTAAGGAGCAAAACGATGTCGTTTTAGGCCAAGGAAGATTCGCGCGTTGACCCATATCCGACCCGAGATCCACGCAACCTGACTCGTAGACCCGTTTTTTCAACAGCTGCTGACCGGTCCAATTTCAATCGGTTTGAACCAAATCAAACCATAGATCGTCAACCCGAACCACTGACTGAACCGTAGAACCCGTCAAACCGGTCCAGACCAGCGTTGACCGGTCCGGTTCAAGTAAAAAAAAAATTTTTTTGAATTATTTTTTTTATATTATTATTTTTGTTATTTTGAGTTTTTTTTTTATATATTGATACATGATATTTTTTTTAATTTGTTAGAATAAATGTTTAATTGTTTTAATAATAATAAAATTGAAAACAAGTAATAATTAAAAATATATATTAAAAATGCTTAAAAATAATAATTATTATTATTTTCCCTGCTTAAATGTTGGAAGGAATAAAAAATATTTTTTTAAAGAAATAATTCCGTCTAGATGTTGAGAAATTATTATTAATAAATTTTCATAAAAAGAAATATAAGAAATTTTTAATTAATTTTCAAAAATCATTAAAATCGAACTTGCTTTGAAAATTTACCTAGATGTTGAAAATTTTTAGAGTTGTTCGTATTTTCTTAAAAACGAAACCTTAAACATTAATTCTTAATTTTCAAAATCCTAGGTTTCTAAAACCCTTAAAATCCAAAATCCCTAGAATCCAAACCCCTAAAATCTGAAACCCCTAAAATCCAAAACCCCATAAAATTCGAAATCCCAAACCCTTAAACTCTTAAATCCAGACCCTTAAATCAAAACCCCAAACCTCAAATTTTCAAACCAAAACCCTAAAATCTTCAAACTCTAAAATCAAAACCCTAAACCTTTCATAACTTAAAACCAAACCCCAAAACCCTCAAAACTTAAATCCAAACCCTTAAAATTCGAATCTTCAAAATCTTGAAACCTTAATCTTTAAAATCTCTACTTAAGCCTTTACTCAAAACATCTTAAAAATTCTAAAGACACGTGTGAAAATTTCATTTGAAGCAATCTATTCCTAAATGTCGCCTAGATGATGGGGTATTTAAGAAATTTTACTTCGTTAGGTCTTTTCACACGATTTCTTAATTCACATTAATAATAAGATTAATAAATAAAAAGTATAACAGTAAATTGGGATCTTAAATATAAATAGTCGCACCTAAGTTATGCCTAGATATTGGAGAGTCGAGGTGGCCTTATTATACTTAAGAATCCAACTTTTAAATTGCATCTCATCCTACATAACATTCATTGACATATATACGTTAGCATGTTATTATCAATAATTATTTGCACTATTCTGTCTTTAATTTTTATTTACTACTTGGTGATAAAATATTTTATAATAAAAAAAGAATAATACTTAAAAAAAATTATGATATTACAAAATAAAATAAAAATAAAATTCTGAAAGAAATAATTCTTGGTACTCTGTCTAGATGTTGGAGAGTCACCAATAATTTTCTATAAAGAGTGTTATTTCATTTTAATGATTGTTGTGTTAAATCTTAAGCGAAAAAAATTATTCTAAATTCTGCCTAGATGTTAGAGAATTTTAAGATAATTTTTTAACTTAAAGATTTTCTCAATATTTCTAAATAAAAATTTTAGCAAAACTATTTTTTAAAACAAAGGAAATTAGTATTAAATTTTAAGTCAAAACCATTTTTATCCAACACCGAAAATAGTGCATAATTAAATGGTACCAATTTATGGGCGTTGTGGGGGTGCTAATCCTTCCCCACACGTAACCGACTCTCGGACCCAACTTGATTTTTCATAGATCAAAATTTATCTTTTTGATAAACTTTAAACCCGTTTTTATAATTTTATTAAAAAGATAAACTTTTGGGTAGCCAATCACACCCTAACAAAGATTGACGGCGACTCTCCCTTTTTATTTCTCTCGATTTTAAAACCTATTTACATCTGACGGTCTCAAAACTGTTACAATAGGCCTCAAGTGGTTGTTGATCATACATGATTTGCTCTTTGAATACTCTCGTGTTCCAAACTTCATTATAACATATTAATTAATATATTACCATCATTTACAGGTTAATGTCACTTTTTTATACATATTAAGTAGTATTAATAACTCAACTATATACCTTAAGTTCAGAATCCATATTGTATAGTCTAATTTTTTTTTTCATTTGTCAATTGAAATTCTATAATCCCACATAATGTAAGTACTGAAATCAATGCTCAAACTTTCATCCAAAAAAAATGATAAAATAAATCGATTCTTCATCTTCTTATGGCAGGACTTGGTGGCTTTGAGAATCTCTGCAGCTATGTAATATATATTACAAGGAGTAAGCAGTAAGTACAGATGTTTGCAGTAATTTTTAAGAGTTAATATTTAGTAAATTTGATATTCTAATTTGATATTATTATTTTATTTATTCTCAAATTGTGACATTTTTTATAAAAAAAATATAAATTAAATAATCATATTTTGATTTTGAGTGCTTTATTGATTCAATTCAACTTATTTGTGGTTACCATGCAATGTATAGTTGCAAAAAGCACACCTGAAGCCTGATGGACTTTTCATGTTTGCCCCCAAAATAATTAATAAAAATAAAAACTTGAAGACTTTCCAGGCTAATCTGTATTATTTTATGATTAATCATTTTCCCTGTTTTTGGATTCATGCCATTGAGGATTCTTTATGTTTCCTTTTCATATTGTGAGTAGTTTTCTTTCAAGATTGAAGGCTTACAAAATATAAGTAAACCAATCAAATACAACAAACATGCCTCAAATTCAATAAAAAATGCTTATCTCCTTGTAAAAGTTAATTGAAAATTTTGGATATTAAATATTTATAAATTTTAAATTTTGTATCTGCATATACGCATATACATGTATGTAATTGAAGTATATTTTTGTATGTGTATGTATATATATACATATATTTTATAGATAAAATATTAAATAATGTCAATAAACTTGAAACAGTATGCCAAAAACCATATAGGTATAAGAAAAATAAAAATAAGTACCAATGGTAAAAAGGAAACAATCATTCAGCTTGTTCATGCTTCCAAAAGATTAGAGTTTCATTGAAAACATAGATAAATCCTAAAAATAAAGCAATGCAAAAAGATGACTGCTAATTTCTATATTACAGGTTGTTATTTTTCTTCATATAATCATTCGCACAACTGCGATTTTGTATCTAATGATTGTTATTCTCAAGTTAATTTTCATTTTTCCTTACATTTTTTCATTTGATTTCTATATTTGTTTTTAAATTTTATTATTGATTATTATGAAATTGGTTTTTTAGGCTACATTCACATAATATTTGGAGTTCAACGATCATTCCTTCTTGCTTTTCTTTGGAATCTTTTTGGTAAGAGATAATACATTGAATTGTGAACAGTTATCAATATTAATGTAACTATTTCCCGTCACTTGTTAATAATTAAGTTGATATTTAGATAATTTTGATTGGATGGATGTATAAAACAAACTATTTACTAATAATTAAGTTGATATTTTTAGGTAACTTTCATTAGTACTGTCAATATCGAGGTTGCTTTAATTTTTGAGTTTTTTAAATGATGATA